TTCTTCTCTACACTTCTTCATTATTGGATATGAAGGGAAAAAAACTAACATACCATGAGGAATGAGACAACTAAAATTAAATATAGTTCGTCCAAGAGATGCTATATATTTTGGATCATTCCTAAAAGAAGTTGTACAATTCGAATAATATGTTAGATATACATTGTATGAAAGTAGCTTTAATAAATATACCTTGTATTGAAAGAAGAATTTAATGAAAAACCATCAGGACCTTGGCTAAGAACGCCAATGCAGACTTGATCTCCTTTTACAATGTGTGGACTTTCCAATTGAACATCGATTGGTATTCCAAGTTCAGATATAAAAGGTTTTAATGGAGACAATGTACCACTTGTTAATACTATTGAACGTACACCTTGATCCATTAATTGCTGCATGCTTTATAAAATGTATGTGTTATTATAATTGGTATACACATAAAATAATATATTAAAAATATATATGTAACTCATTTTACCTAAAACCAGGGCTGAAACACCAGTAACTAATCATTTTGCCTTCATTTTTTAAAGTGGTTTTCTTTGTTTCCCATATATCATGTTTATAATTCTTTTTTGTTTCCTCTAACTGAACATATACTTTATAACATTGTTTAATTTTTTCTCTATAGTATAAGCTACTAGCATTGCTGAATACAACTCTTAGCAGGTCACTGAATTTTTGGAGTGCATTACCTTTCCTTGCAAATGGAGAGGTACTTGTAGTTGTTAAATAAAGAATAATTTTGTCTAGTTTCTCTATTACTAGTTGCTCCTTGCCATGGGTTAATTGTGCCTTTTCCAACAATTCAAAAATATATCCACCAGGAAGTGTGTCTCCTTCATCGCGTTTTACGATTTTTATAGAGTCAATAGCCTTTTCCAGTTCTAAAAACATAGCTTTCAAAATGCATAAATCATCCGCAGTAAAATCTTTTTGTACATTTCCTGAATTTTCCATTAAAAAATCATTATTTGTAACATCATTAGCCATTTCTTCCATTACTGCTGTTATTTCATTAATACACATGGCAATATCTGTACTACATATCTGTAAGGATGCTGCCTCTTCGCATATTTTTTCAATATTGTGTGCTTCATCTATAAGAATAACATTGTTTTGCAGTTCTACACCTTGGGATCTGCGTGTTTTTACATCCAGTAAGTAATTATATGGCATGAAAATTATATCTGCATTTTGCTTAAGTTCTCTGGATAAAAAGTATGGACAACATTTGAATTTCTGGCCAGCTTTTACTAAATCCTCTATATCTAATACTTCTTGTTTGAACAAAGGTTCCTCTTTCCTTGTCTCAACATTATTATAATAAATACATGTTCTAGTTTTAACTTTGCAATGACACATATGTATTTTATTGGAAGTATTAGTCTCTTTGGAAACTTCTGGATGAATACACATTTGATCTCTAGATCCCAATACTGCCACGTTTACATGTTTATAAGAACTTCTCTTTAACTCCTGTATCGCTTGAGACAGTTGTGAATGTGTTCTGGATGCATAGATAATTTTTGGTGCTGTCCAGTTAAAACTAGAAGAAGGCTCTGAATTGCCTGCAGCTTCTTTAAGTCCATTACTTAATTTTTTAAAGAAATGTCCTCCAAAATTTGGTGTCTCTATGGCACCGACTAATGACCCTGCCTGCAATTGGGCTTTTTTGGTTAATAGCCAACTTAAAGAGGAACACAAAAGGCTAAGAGTCTTTCCTGTTCCAGTTGGAGATTCTAGAACACCATTTTTGCTATTCTGAAGACACTCTATCACTTTTGCCATGTATTCCTCTTGAACAGAATATGGTTTGAAAGGAAAATTAACGATAACATTATTAATCGTTACTTCGGGCATCGTATCGTTATAAGTTTCCCACTATTTCTATAACAATGTCTTTATAATATAAGAAATATCGAGTAATTAATATGAACAGGAACATTAGCTTTGCGTTCCCGCCAAATTCTCAGCTGATCTCGATTCTATATCTTACGATTCTATATATACATACATATATATATATACATATGTGTATATTGAATTTTTCTATTATAATAACGCAGTAATAAAAATTACATAGGGGGTTGTTTGAATATTGATATATGTATTTTATTTTTTCCAGCGGAAAAAATGATATTCGTAGAGACGAGGAAATCAAGAAGGTTTTATTGGTAACAAATATTATACAGTTAAGATTGCTTATCACAGAATAACCGATCGTTCGGTTTCAAATAACTCATTTTCAAGTAGTCAGAGTATCTGAAAAAGTGGGACAGATTAATCCATTTTATTATTAAGTAACAAAGAACCGAGATTAGGTTAGTTGCGAGTCAGCTGATTTGGTGGCTGGCCGATTACACTGGACTCACTGAACTATATGTAAGATTCTTGAATTTTTATTCAGGTTTGTATTTTTTAAAAATTATATTTGCTTTCCTGCTGCAAGAGAGGAAGAGAGAGAGTCGTTATTTCCCGCTTTTGCAATAGGATTTAAATTAACAAATAGAAAACTTAGAAATATGATCGTTAAAGTTAATACTATTCCATTGGTTATTGACATCTAAACACATCTAAAGTGAAACACGAAGACACGTACCGGAGTTTAATATACCTGTTACATACGATATAATAAATATGTACTATAATAAATAAAATTTGGCAAACATAGCATATTTGATCCATTTATTGCTCCTTGTATATTTTAGAGATGATGGACAGAAAACGAAAATAATAAATAAGAACAAAGTATTCGTAAGATTTAAAATATGTTCCTTCGTATAATACGAAGCTTAAACGAAATATACTTTCTCGTATTCTGTACGTTCAGATAAAAGGTCGTTGTCACGCGAGATATATCCAATATAACACTCGTAAATGCATCATTGGGAATTCGTAAAACTATAGTATGCATTACTCGTGTATCATACCATTTGGGGGCGTTTGATTTTATTTTTACAAGTTTCAAGCTTTTTTAAAAGTATAAATTTATCGTATAATTTTCTATTTCTTTTTTCAGTTAAGTGGATATTTAGTTATAACAAAATTTAAAAATGCGTTTAGTAATCTGTGATACGGTAGATTATGTGGCAGAATGGTCTGCCAAATATGTTTTAAAAAGAATTAACGATTTTCAACCGAATGAAAATAAATATTTTGTTCTCGGTCTTCCAACAGGTATGTTTTTTATCTGCAATAAAAATTTGAATCGACGTTACATTTGTTATTATTTATTATTCAGGTGGTACACCTTTGGGAATGTATAGGAAACTCATAGATTATTACAAAGCAGGAAAAATTTCTTTTAAATATGTGAAAACGTTCAATATGGACGAGTATGTTGATTTACCCAGGGATCATCCAGAATCTTACCATTATTATATGTATAATAATTTCTTTAAGCACATAGATATCGATCCAGTGAATGCACATATTCTTGATGGTAATGCACCAGACCTTGTGAAAGAATGCGATGATTTTGAGAGAAAAATTAAAGAGGCTGGTGGAATTGAATTGTTTATTGGGGGTAGGTAATTTATAAATATAAAAATATCAATTTTGTATACAATTAATTGTTATTTTCCAGGTATCGGTCCGGATGGTCATATAGCTTTTAATGAACCAGGATCATCCTTGGCATCGCGTACAAGAGTGAAGACACTAGCACAAGATACATTAGAAGCTAATGCTAGATTCTTTGGAAATGATATTTCCAAAGTTCCAAAGCAAGCATTAACTGTTGGTGTTGGTACAGTAATGGATGCTAAAGAAGTAATGATTCTTATTACAGGTTCTCATAAAGCATTTGCTCTTTATAAAGCCATAGAAGAAGGCATCAATCACATGTGGACTGTATCAGCTTTTCAACAGCATCCTCGTACAATAATTATTTGCGACGAAGATGCGACTCTCGAATTGCGCGTGAAAACTGTAAAATATTTCAAGGTATACATTTAAACATTTATGTCTGTAGGACTTCTTAAACAAATTTGTACACCTAACATTTGAGATTTGAAGACATTTGCATTTCAAATGAAACATTATATTACCATTGAGTTGGTTTTGCATTGAATTTGTATGATATACAGGCTCTCAGTGCTGTACATCAAAGATTGATAGAAGAAGATGGCGATGCAATTCCTCGTCGTTCAATACAAAACGATTAAAATGGTAGTTATTTCTTTTAATATTCTATAAATATTGTTAATAAATCTTGTTATGCTGTTTTAAAATTCTGTAGAATAAATATTTGGCATATAGTTTATTTATCGATTTGCAAAATTTTAATAAAAACCAGGAATAAGAACAGTTGTACTTAAAAAAAAAAAATAATGTTACACATAAACAAATTTTTCTAAGTTAGATGTACCAATTGATAAAAATGAATCCTTCTATAAATGCGTATATTTCATTTTTTACAGAATTTATGGGACATTCATAGCAAACTAATCGACGAGCCTGGAAAAATATCGATTTAATACGATATAAAATATTGCTGTGTTTTATAATAAAAAAATGAAAAGTTATGAGGTGAAACCGAAGATTTTAAGAAGGCACGATTTTCGTGTACGATACTTAATGAGTTATTTCGTAATGAAAACTCTATATTATATACATACTTGTTTGAATAAAAATGAGTTATTATATTGTTATAATTTCTGTTTTAATATTACAGAAATGCCATATTTTTGTATCATTATACTATTCCATAAATAAATTTACTCTTTTTATCATGCAAGACTTTTGAATGATAAATCCCATTTCCGTATTCCTATTATTTAAATAAGAATTACGGCCACTAGCGCATGGACCATCGGTGAAACACTGAATTAAAATATTAAAGTTCCCCTTAAAACGAAACTAAGTTAACTGGAAGAAGTGGGGGAGATAGCTGAAGGAAACGCAATCATCATTACAGACACGAAAGATAAGTGAAACCGTGGTATCATGTGTAAGTTTGCCTTTAACAACGAACTCTTTTAAATTATACAATAGATATACGGAATTAACTGATAAGAATCTAATCTAACTTTCGTTGGTACTTGATCGTATAAATTGAAACGATACTTGAGGTAAGTACTAATTGTTTCTTGGAGTTAGTCAAGGAACGACTCTTCCAGGCTTTCAAATACAAAATTAACCGCTGTGACAGTGCAGATCTACACTGACGATCATGAATGACAGTGACAAAGAGGTGAAAGAAATTGTACTCCGCGATGTAGAACCAGTTTTACGACAGAAACTTGGTAATCATGTGACCGTTGAAAATTTCACAACCGAGATTCTGTTACCACCTGGAGAAAATTATGGGAGTATGATACTGAAAGTTACTGTTCAAGTGAAAAATGAAATAACTGGGAAGAAAGAAGATCTTCATCTCATCGCGAAAATGTTACCACCCACGGAATTCCAAAGACTCATCTTCAACTCTTTGGACACCATTAAGAAAGAAGTCTTTATGTACGAGACCATTATGCCAACATACAACAAAGTAGAACTCGAAGCTGGTATTAAGCAAAACGATCTATTCGACGTTGTGCCCAAGTTTTATGGATTTAGACTGTCCTCGCAACCGGACGTTGAATTAAACGACGATGCTGTGATCCTGATGGACAATTTAAAGAACAAGGGCTATTACACTGGCGAGAGGACTATAGGTATGCTTAATTATTTATTAACAAAAGAGAGGGGCTTTAATAGACGTATCACTCAAAGGTGTTCTCGATAAGGTAGCAACGAATGATATTATTATATAAATTCTCGATGTTGTAATTTCATGATTCGTTAACCAGGTACACAATGCTGGCATAGATTTAAGATATAAATAAAACGTTTCTTCGTCTCATAGACTAAAACCTGTTTGTAATTTATTCGAAATAATTGCATACTCGCGAACAGCGTTTACCCACCGTACACAACAGTTTAAGTATTGCAATCAAAGATATGAGCATTCACGAGTACCAGGAAAGCAAACTAACTATCATGATGTAATCACCATTTTTCTATGAAACATGAAATAACAATCAAAAAGAAATTTGTTAATTTAATCGTAGAAGCGAAAGAGTTGAAATAAAAACCTCTGCTTCGTCTATTGTACGTAGGTTACGACTTGAAGCATTCGGAAATGGCGATTGAAAATTTGGCGAGATTTCACGCCTTAGGAATGGCCGTGAAGCTGAAGAAACCAGAAATTTTCGAGGTGTTCAAATCTCGGGCGAAACCCTTGAAAGTAGAAGGTAACCCCGAAGAGGTGGTCAGTTCGATTATGAAGAAAATAAAAGAGCATCCGGAAATGAACTGTTATGTTGATAAGTGCTATAACAATATGAAGGACATGTTAATGAAGGATTTTTGGGCTGATACCCCTCGAGAACCTTGGATGACCATTATTCACGGTGACTTCTGGGTGAATAACATACTATTTCATGACGACGAAAATGGTCAGCCGGACGATGTGAAATTCATCGATTTTCAAATATACATGTACGCCAGCTCGTTGCGAGATTTATTGTTTTTTATGTTTGCAAGCGTCAGGACCGATATTATCGGAGAACAATTCGAAGGTCTTATGGATTTGTATTATGATACGCTTCTAAGTAGATTGCAGCAATTAGAATGCGACATAACAGGTTTCAGCAAAGAGGGATTCAGAGAAAAATTGGCAGAGGATGCTTCTCACGAGTTCCTTCATCTGTGCGTTATGGCTAAGATTCTTACGTTGGACGTCAAAGAGTCCAACTTTACTTACGATAAGTTGCACAACTTTTTAAACGATTATGACGGAAATCAAGAGTTTGTAGAACGACTCCTTAAGATAGTGTTGTATTTCTCTAAACACGATTGGATATAAATACGCGTTATCAAACACGATCAAATCGAGACATGGGTTTTAAGAGCTCTAGTTTATAGTTTTCATAAAAAAAGTTTATTCGTTTACTAATGCTAAATCAAAATATACATATCGTTTTATTATTGTCTTCGAAAGAGCAGCTTTTATCGTCGTTTTATTTTGACGAACGCGATAATTTAATTAATCAAGATATCGCATCTGTTGATTATGAGTTTATCTTGAATGACTATACGAACTATATACGGACAAACCAATAACAACGAAAGTAATTCATCAAGATGGTGGAATGAAAGTAGAAACAATAAATAATTAATCACTTTCAAACTGATACATGTAGCTTTCCATTAATGAAGTTCCATAACAATAAGAAAACGTATAAACAATATTTTCATTGCACATCTATATTACAGAAAGGTATTTTAACATCTTTGTGTTCCAAACTAGATAAAGTGATTATTTTTTTTTTATTGTAAATATAGTGCAAATATAATCTCGAGAAGAGGTAAAAGGAACTTTTAAATCGACATTTATATTGTATAAATAAATTGTATAAATGTAAGTACTTGCGTTTTTTAGATAAATCGATAATATCGTTTAATTATATTTGAATTTTATTAATATTATACATTTCTATTCAACTGTATCTAAGATAATGAATATGAAGTTGAATAAATATTTTCTACCAAATATCGTACACCTATACTTTTTTATGGAAAAAATTAATAGATTTTAAAAATACAGGCACAATACAAATCAAGTCCAACAAAAGGAAAACCGTTTCTTCGAAGAATACCTCGTTTTTCTGGAATTAAACAATTTTGGGTTATTATGTTATATAGTTTGAAACTGAGACTTGGATTTTCTAAAATTAGTGTAAAGTTAATAATTAATATAATAATCTGTACATTCACACGTGTTACTCACGAGAATTGTTTTACTATGAACTCTGAAGTTGTCTATGTTCTGGCACAAACTATGAAGTTGTCTTCATTAATTTGCGCGCGGACTTCCCTTCAGTTTGAATACCATACAATTTGTACGTATCATGTACGTATTCATGTATGTGTTTCATTGTCAGTTAAACGATATTATTGTTTACTGTCGCTATTGTGTATAATTCTCTATGTTATCTTTTATTTCAGTATGTACTTTTAGTAAATTTAATAAATACTCTTGTTTAATCATCATTCAAGATTTTATTACTTAATGTTTGATTAACATTATCGTCATTTACGAATCAACAGATTCTGTAAGTAGAATGTTTACATTTAAGCCGTAGCTTGAGTATATCTCTTGTAAATAATTCGTAAAAGTACGAAACATTCTAATTCCCACATTTTATCCGAACCATTCCCTTCGTTCCACAGTCCATCCCTCCGCGGCGCTGCGATCAAAACAGCGCAACTTCAGGGCAAACATAGTCAGTCTGTCCAAGTTTGTCACAGTCTGTCAGTGTGTGTACACGATGTCGGTAAGACGAATGAAGCCGCGTGTTTACTTGACGCTCCAACAACGGCACGACATTTTACAACAAATAGAAGTTGGCGTTCCAATGATACAATTAGCCAACGATTACAATGTCAACAGCATGACTATACGGCGTATCAGGTCGAATGCAGCCCAGATACGGCAACAATCGCAGCTAATGGGAATTAAAAATCAGAAGAAGTTTCGGATGCCAGTGCTGCGTCAGTTGGATATGCGTTTGTACGCGTGGTATTTACATCGGCGAACGATAGACGATCACGTTACCGATTCGATGTTACAAGCGAAAGCGAAGGAATTGAACGAACAATTCGGTGGTCCGTCGTCGTTTACGGGATCCAGAGGCTGGATATGGAGGTTTAAACGTCGGCATGGCATCAATCCCCCTAAATATCATGACGAGTGCACCAATAACACGGGGACAGAAGGAGACTTTCCCTGGAACTCTTTACAGCAGATGGAAGAGGATGAGATGGAGCTAGAAAATTTTTACAATATGAACGAAATGGACCTGGCGTGGAGAGTTGTTCCACGGAAGACGTTAGAAGAGAAGAAAGTGTTTAAACATAGAATGACGACGCATCGGCTGGATTCGATCGAAATGCAAGATCTTTCGTCGTTGGTCACGTACGAATACGAGAGATCGAGAGATCTGATGAACTGTCGGAACCGATTGCCCGTTGTTTTCAAGGCTCGCAGGAATATTTGGACAGATCGGAACGAGTTTGCAGATTGGTTTGAGAATTACTTCAAACCAGCCGTGAGGAGACAGCAGATCCGAAGGGGTGCCGGCGGTAAGGTGTTCCTTTTATTAGATAAATGTAGAATTAATGTACTACCACCCCCATTGAGAAGGCAGGACGATATCGAACTCGTATATTTTTCGACGAACATGGCGGGTCCACCAACAGGCCAAGAAATAGTGGAGAGGACAAGAAGATCCTTCGGTCGCATTATGTTGCGGAAGATCTTAGAATTTCCTGACGGGGTGGTGGAATTTTATGGGAATTACTATGTGAGAGATTGCGTCAGTTTGATCAACGAGATCTGGATAGATACAATACAGATGAGTATATGTAAATCGTGTAGCAAATTACTGGCAGATACAGCAACTAAGGAACAAAAGACTGAGGAAGAAGAAAACCAAATAAACACTTCTCGCGTTGCGTTAGATAAACTCGTTGGAAACCAGATAGAAAATAAGTTAGTTAGTTCGAGAATTACAGACACGGCGAGAACAAGAAAAACTATTTCTCGAAATCAAACGACAGAACGCAATGCGTTAGCTACTCTCGAAATTATCGACGTAGCACGAACTATCAAAACAGAGCCTGTCCCTCGAGATGAGATCGAAGAATGCAACATGACGGACGTTACCGACATTCCGGCTACGCTGGGAAGAATTAAAGTTGAGACTTATCCTCTAAGTCTGAGGGAAGAATGCGACATGCCTGTAACGGTAGGAAGAATTAAAGTAGAGGCCTTTCCTTTAGACGTGATGGAAGAGAACGACGACACGCGAGACGTTACGGAAATTCCAATTGCAGTGGACAAAATCAAAGTGGAGGCTTTCCCTTTAGATGTAACGCGAGAATGTGTGATAAGACCAATTAAAACTGAACCTATCCCTCAAGATGAAACCGATGATTGCGATATAGACGTTACGGAAATTTCAAATAGTGCGAGGCGAATAAAAGTAGAGACTGATCCTCTGAATCAGATGGACTATTGCGAAATTCCAAACACAGTGGGAAGGGTGAAAGTAGAGCCCGTTCCTCGCGATCGAATGGAATATCGCGATACGTTGGATATCACTGAAATTTCGAACACGGTGAGACCAATTAAATTGGAGGTTGTCAATCGAAATCGGAGAGACGAACGCGACGTGTCGATTGTTCCCGATATTACGAGCACGGTAGAGAGAGTCAAAGTGGAGGATGGCTCTGAAAATCGTGTAGACAGGATTGTAGGGAATGACGATGACTTAGATATAGAGTTCAATAACGTGAAAACAGATGACGAGTCTTTCCTGGAGCCTGACTTGGACGAGGAGCAGACAAAAAAGATGTTTTCCAGTTTAGCACTGTGGTCGCAAGATCAACCGAGTTTTATACAATTGCAGGTGCAGGCGATACAGACATTTTATAACAATTCGCGAAGATAATGTAATTATAAGATCCCAATAGTTAATAAAATTTTGTAGTTCGTTGCCGAGCAATTACTACTATCAGAATACAGGGAGTACCAGACCCACCATTTAATTTTAGAAATAACGTTCAGTTTAGAGAGTGGAACTCGCCCCCATTAATGTTTGTTTCTTCAGCTCAGGCGGATACCAGCTGTGTAAACAAAAGCTAGTTCTCGAGGTCAAGCTATCTCGTTTCACGAATCGATTTTCGTTCACTAATGAATATTAAAATTCTTCTTTTAAAAAATATGTATATACTTGGTAAGTAAAAAGGAAGTTGTATTCCTACCATTGACGCTTCAATAAAATGTTGAGTCGCGGTAGGCGATTGCCATAAACCGTAATTCTCTATCACATTTAATTTAAAAGTTACAATGATAATATCCTATTTATAATGAATAACTGTAGCTATTATTAAAGATAGTTTAAGTATAGATACATACGACAAGCTTAACTCGCGATAATGATAAAAGTGAAATCGTATAAAACGGAGAGTAAACACGTATTGCATTTGTATCTGCACATACATACGTGTTTACGCAACAGTTAGTGCGTACTTGCGATGGAGCGACGAGTTTCGTAGTGGTTCGTGCCACTTACTTTTTTTTTAGTTTTTCTATATTTTTACAAAAGTTTTGATCGGATTTATCTGAACTCGGAAACATCGTGAAATACGATTTTGCGACTAAAATAATGAGTACATTCGTGATGCTGAATCTTCACGGATTGACTCTGTTTATATGGATCGTATCTGTCCTAACCTTATCTACCAGTGGTAAAGTTAAAACAGATGGTATTACTTCTTTAAAGTCCGCGTCGAATACGAGTATTGTCGGTGAATCCTCAGAAAATAATTACGGGAATCTGTCGTCTGCGAATCAACCTGCATCTGAGTCCACTTACTCCACAAAATCATTGAACGTAAGAATTTTTCATCTGTCAATTAACGCGCATTTAAATAGTGATGTCGAATTCAATGCATGATTTACGACGGTACTGCTCTGTGTATTGGCAATTCAAATGAAATATGAAGGTAAAATCTATCCAACTTATTTTCAGGAAAATGTTACCCCTTCATTTGTCGGAGAAGGTGGTCCAATTTCCATTGCTTCTACCACACAGCGTGCATCTTCCACTACTTCTCATTCTATAAGCATTTCCGAACATTTAAATGCAGAGAGTAATTTTCCAAATGAAAAGACTCCAAAAAATTCCAAGATTGTTGCAAGAAAAGGAGCAAATGAAATGAATGTAAAAAGGGAACCAGTATCTCATGACACAAAGTCAGAGGCTGAACATAGTACAGTAGCAAGTGTTATTGGTATTAATGAGAAACGTGTGAATGTTGATTTGAATAATGCAAAATCAGAAACAATTGATAAATTGTCAAAGGATGATTCCCATACAACTGTGAAGAATGCATCGCAAGAAAAAGTACCGACAAGTACTACTATAATAACATCTTTGCTTAAAGAGCATAAAGCAAAACCAACTGTAACAGTAGCAGGACCTAACAGCGATAAACGACCGTTTGTATCGCCCACAAGATCACGCTTAGGAATGCCAAAGAAAATTGATTATCTTTTGCCAGTTATTATTACTCTTCTAGCTTTGCCAATATTGGGTGCTGTAATTTTCATGGTGTATAAACAAGGTAGAGATTGTTGGGATAAAAGGCACTATAGGAGGATGGATTTTCTTATTGATGGAATGTACAATGATTAATATTTAGAAATGTACCATTTGGTCATTTTGATTGTAAGGATATCGTCTGCGCGATAGACGTAAAACATTTGATAAACTATTTTGTCACTATAGCATCGATTGATATACCGTACCGCTTATATACAAAACTATAAAACTTTTATTGTGCCGTAGCTTGCTCTGCATACAATATTCTCATTACGCTACTGCCTTATAACGAGATTCGTTATTTTGTATGTTTTATATAATCACCGTTTGTATACAGAAAGTACGATTCGTATGTTATCTTAGCTCGCATACTCATTTTTAGACGAACGACATATAAAAAAGACACTATGGAAATAACAACAAATTAAATTTCACAACAACAATATAAAAATATTCAACGAATATTACAATCGAAGAACTTGGACAAAGCAGTAATTTAAATATTTGAACAAACATTTAGTAATGTTCATTAAAATGAACGAAACTTTATCTGTACATATACGTCAAGGCAACATCAAAATTTTTTTTTTAATTGTTGAATTTCACGTGAAAGTAATTTATTAGTCGTTTGTTTTAGTTCAGTTGAAAATTTTTAAGCGTAGAGCCCGATAATGATATTATCGAATACGGGCCTATTGGATCAGAATGGTCTTTGTTAACGATATATCTATACAGATTTTGTAAAATGTACTTGGTATTATTTTACATATTATTGTAAAGTAGTATGTATTCCACCAAAGAAATATTTGACTTACATAACACAATTTTTCTAACTAATCGTAATAATTGTCATATGTCATTGCATTTTTCTTTTGCTATTTGAGTATTTAATTAATAATTGCCATACAAAAAGTAAATGAATATCAAGCAATGTTCATATAATTATTATACCGTTGCATTTATAAGCAATGTTTTGTGCAATTATTCCATTTTATAAGATTTTTGCAGTTGTTATTTGGAAAGAGGAAATTTTATGCCGAATTTCCTTTTTCGTTTAATGTTTGTAAAGTTTCTATTTTGTCAAAATGTGATAAAGCAATAACAGCTATTTTTATATACATATGTATGTAAGAAACCATTCATATTGTTATGAAATATAAATACATACAACCAATGTTGTTCAATTACTTTGATAAACAATATTCCTAACACAGAAAGAAACTAAGCTGTGTTTGATTTGTAAGTTTTATTAGTAAGCTTCTTACGTAGGTACATAAAATCAGTAGTGTTAGCATGGCGTATAAATTACAAATTTGCTAGAGATTTACAAGTTAAAAAAAATGTATACCTTAAACAGAAGAGAAAGGGAAATGAAGATTCAATTCCATGATGTGACCTAGTGCTTTTGTATATATACATAAATTTAATTTCAGAAAATATTATTACCAATTTTAATATGCATCTAGAGATTTCGAGTAATCCGACTTAATTTACTTTGCAAATTTAAAGCTTTAACGTGCAGAACCATAGATGATTTATAACAATCTAGAGTAATTGTTCCTTTGCTACGATACTACAATCATAACTCCGTCTTAGATTAAATTTGTATTAAGTCATTGCTTTTATTATAGAACTGAATATAAAAATAGTAATCGTCATAAATAGTTTCGCCTTAACGTCATGATTTCGATACAAACATAATTCGTCAAGTAGACGCTTTTGGAATATTGCTATATAATGCGAATATAATAAGATAATACCCAGATGAAATATATTCGATATAATTCTAAGTTTTTCAACGGTATTTTGTCATAAAAAAGATATTCTAATAATCTAAAGTTCGTCCTTTAACGTTATAGTAAAACTCTTATATTATTCCGAGGATCTTTTTGTAGTTTTCGATAAGAAAAGAACACGTAATATATTCCGTTACGTTACAACTTTAGAATGACTGTCCTTATATTTGAGAATGCTGGTTAAAAATACTCTCGTATAATCACATTTAATACATTGCTGTACAAAAAGAAAAACAAAAATCGTACGAACAACAGCGATGTGGTTAATAATAATTCGTCAATTTACCAGTACGGTGTTCGTATCAACTGAAATTACACTCGAAACGAATTAATTAAAATATGCACTTTTACATAGGAAAAAGTGTACTCGACCGATGTATCAGATAACCATACAAAAGATACCAGCTTTGACTGTATTCTGCCGATTATATTTATCTGGTTAACCGCCCTCGATCAAGAATAATAAAAGGCTCGTACTGAACTTTCATAGTTATTACGGTGTCAGAGTCTATTTGGACTTGTATTTTACTTGGTCTGGAAAAGCCTCTCTCGGTGGTACCAGACTAAGCATTATTACGTGACGCTGATAAACTCTAGAATTACGAAATTGTGTGTCTGTTCCATGTACCCGGTCTAACACTCCCAAAATTCCGAAGCATTGATTAAACCTGAAACAACACAAGATATTTTTGTTTAGTTGTTACTTTTGTCAAAATAAATCATCAATTTTGTATCCATATTTCCGAGGGCCAAGGTGATGTAACCGCTCAACACCATTTTGGTCTGAAATCATTCCCAACGGTAAATATACTTACTTTAAGTGATGGAAATCATGAGCTTCTGGAGATGGGAAGAATGGTAAATGGTAACCAGAGTGAGCATTCAACGTGGATAAAATAGCAAGGGAGAACCAAAGCCAAGCGGTAGCCACGTGAGAACCTACGATGAATACTCCCAAAAACGGTGGCAATAGGTTCGAGCCAATATGTTCTAAGGGATGGCAATATAGCGATGTTACAGCTATAGGGGCTGTCCATTCGTGGTGCTGTTTATGTATATACTTGTACAGATAGCGGCTATGTAGAAATCTGTAATATAATTTAATTGTTACACAAGTTTTCTTGGCTGACAATAACATGCACGACACGTTACTCGAGATAATAATTAAAGGATAACTCGGACGAATGTATGACGCGCGATCGCGATAATGTATTCGACAAAACCTTCGAAATATTACACAAGTATATGGATTCTGTAAAAACGTTACTGGATTGTTTAGTGTGATATACAGAATGATCCTACTAGACCTAGAAGGGCACTGCATAAACGATTAATAATCGTAAGTGAGGTGTGCTTTTAATTTGCTATAGATATAAAAGGAAATTTGCATTAATGCACAATGACCTCGTGAATGAACAGCATGAGAAATTTGCGTACCTGTGCGAGTAATAAAATCCAATTTCCTCGCATAATATAAGAATAGCGATTTCAACGAGTACCCAGTGGAAGGTCGGCAATTCGCGCATAGGGGGATAACCGCGCCATTCCATAAAGCGATAACTGGCGTACGCTAGAGGAACACCGACAACTATCTGATTGAACAGTACTTGAGCGATTACTTTGCACAATTCCCTCCTGTTGACGGGCTCGTTCGTGCCCGGTTGTATTTTGTATTTTCGCAAAGCGGCTGGTCTGTTGGTGATGTCCAACAGTGTGTAAATACCGCCGAAAAACCAGTAAACGAAAAACGTTAATCCCAACGACCCTGAAAGAGATTCGTTGAGAATAGTATACACTTTTTATTCGAAGATAAAGTGTAAACCAGAGATGGACAGAATTTTATTCTAGCAGCCAGTTCCACAGTGATAGCGATAGACATTACTTTGATACGTCAGCAACTATACATACAACTATTGAAGATGAAGTCAGAACCCTTAATTATTTGTCAGCTTCCACGGTGTGAGCTACCAGCTTCACACAGACAAATGGACGGCAAGTTTATCTTACAATTAGAAAGGCACAGAATTCATTTCTATACGTAATAATAAATTTATTCGTTTATATCTAGAGGAGAATTTTGTCCATCTCTGAGTCGTCTCAATTCTCGTGTACCATGAACCCAGACAGTCACGGGATCATCTCCTAATCTGTCTAAGATTTTATCCCATTGTGCTTGCCAGAAATCACCGGAAGCTCCCCAGAACCTCTGCAAATGCCTAAAGAATAAACAAGTTTTAACGTGATAGCGATTCCCTCTATACAAGGGCAGCCGATTTTTCGTAAGGAACAAATTTACTCTATTGGATCCTTATTCGAAGATAGAGAAATCGTATTTGTATACCTTATCTGGTGAAATTTACCATGTTAGCGAGTTGCAGAAAGCAGCGAATCCGATCACTACGGTTCCGATTACGAAAAGGACGCTTCTTAAACTTGAAAGAAGAGTCGGCGGGGTTTGATTCTTACAACCGTCGTTGCTCGCAGCCGTCACTGCAAAAACAACGAATCGTCGATCATCTTTCGATCTGTACGATAGCGAAATCAATTTGAAAATTCATGTTCCAGAATTGTACAGTTTACGATATATTTAACACTTTGACTGCGGGACGATTTTGAAAAAAGTCGAATTTTAACAAATATCACCTTATACAGAATGTGATGAAACAATAAGAGAAACGCCAAGTTTGTTTTTGTCTGGTTCGAATGATTAAGGATAGAGCAAAGAGCAAACGGTAGAATTTTACCACCGATCGTAGACAATAAAATGCATCAGATATAAAGACTGTGTTTGCACAACAAGACACTATGCACAAGATAACGCGTATTCGATAGACAAAACACTGAACGAGCCACTCGACTCGAGCCCTTTCAACCACTCGATTACCTGCAATTACCGTGTTTATGGCAGCCAAGTTACAAAAAGCAACGGCTCGTCACGTTCGCGGCTACTTTCGCTCGCGATACGATGTATCACGAAATATGATTCGAATAATAGATAACAAGTAAAACAGTATTTATTACTAGACTGTGCTAAAGCCTCATTTGGAAAATGTCTTATTACTTTACGATCATTTTTGTCAATTAAAATACTTTGGTTGGCAAAAGTAACGATCGCTTCTCCAAGTAACATTGTAAATCCATTTAACTGGGAGATTAAGCTATACCATCAGCACTCGATTTCGACGCGATGGAAGATAATTATAAATACAATTCAATTGCGATGGAACGATGAATAATTATTCTGCTTCTTGGAAATTAGACGGGAGACATTTCTTACTTCGTGTTTAACTCTGTGCAAGAGGTATCCTTAACAGGAAAATTTTCATTATTCGTTACACACAGCCAATAATTCATAATAGCTAATATTTCAGAGATTGTTTACGATTT